TGAGTGTTTACCTCGTTTATGTGATTTTTCTGGTGTTTTTTTAAACAACTTTTGGAATCCAAACGTCAATAATCTTCGGATTTCTTTTAATTACTCCAAATAAAATGTGTATCACGGAAATCTTATTTGACTCATATCTCTTCTGTTTTTTGCGACGTTTAATTAAAATAAGAAATTCCTATTCTTGATGAGATTAAAACTAATGGTCAATCACATTAAAATAAAAATTTAATTCTGTTCAATTCCAAAAATTTCGGCAATATCTCCTTTTTGGAGTGGAACAAGTGCTATTGAAATAACAATCAGATAAATAATAATGGTAAAACAACTTACCGACACGAAACTCCATGTTTTTGTTTCCTAGGAATTTATTAATTGAGTGACGATTCTGGAAGCTAGGGATAAAACTGAACGAGGGAAAATTCAAATTTCGATGTGAGAGATTTTGAATTTTTTGAAAAATTTGAGAACACAAAATAATTGCAAATTCGTTTTGATTTTTAAAAAATTCAAATCAAACTTATTGAATTTAAAAAATATCTGAATAGCTAACGAATTGATGGACAATTAATATTTGAAATTATTCGTTGTAAAAGACGCTGTTTTTTTAATTACAACTCTCGAAATTTTCGGACTGAACAAATTATATTAACAAATTCCTTTAGATTATTTATGGATACGTTTGAAAATGAAAATCTCTGAATTCGTTCAATTTATAGACTTACAGGAATTTAAGGATTGAAGGGAAATTGTTATAATAATGAAACATTCAATTTTTTGTCATATTGTAAAATTTATTGTGAGTATTCTCCACAATTACACTCGATTTTGGCTTCTCAATACTGATTAAATACGGTGCTCTAACGAAGCTGTTAGATACGTTCTAGAGTGCATATTTGGGTTCTAAAAATTTCCATTAAGTCGGACAACATTTTTTGCCCTAAATAATGGAAATTACAGGTGCAAAAAAATTTTGTTTCCCATGCAGACTTTTCGGAGTATTTTCCCGGAGGAATTTGATTATCATTCCCTACTACGTATTAATTAAAATGGTCGAAGAACATTTTCCACTCTTAAACATCTCCCACAATTTTTTCAATAAATAACATTCAGTGGGAAAGATGCCATGAAATTTTTTAAAAATAAAATGTTTTTTAAACAAAAACATTCCAATATTGGAGTAGTAGAATGCAGAATATTTCGCAGATATCTGAGAATTTCTTTGAATATTTGCGGAATACTTTACTGCCCACTCCTCAACAATTAATCAATAATCGTTAAATTATTTCGTTGAAGATTTGAGTTAGGAAAAAATGTCTAGATCGTTGAACAAGCCGAAGATCTCAGCAGACATTTTCTCCTAAATCCCCAACTTCCACAAATCCCTGGGACTTAATTAAAATCTCGGGCTTTTCCTCACTGAATCCCTCAATCCACTTGTTCTCCTCAACACAATAACATCGGCTCTACCCCGACTATTAAAATTTGTACAATAGGAAAGGCGCCAGCGCACTTTAAACCTACAACGGCATTCACTAGAAATAATTCTATATCGTTTCTCAAAATTCTATCACAATATCCCCAAGTATATCAATCACAATCTAAAGTGCACAAAACCATAATCAAGCACTGTTTCGTAACCCGTCACTTAATAAATAATGTATATCTTTGTTTCCCCATCTCAATTTTTTATTCTACTAAATTAAGCTGTGGTACTCTGCAACCGAGAGGCAGTCAGAATTTCCTCCTCTATATTAACATCGAGGAGTATATCCATTCCCTTGATCCCTTGCTCGCTGTACTTGTGAAAAATAGGAATAGCAGTCTGCCAGACGCATCTGTTTCGTTTCACAGACTCAACGAGGCTATTGGCAACTGGAAATAATGCTGATAAATTTGTGAACAATGGTAACACTAAATTCGTGATGAATTGGACCTGGAGATCAGGTATCGAGGCTTTCTCACGATCCATCATCTCAATTGGTGCCGTCCCCATACTTTTTTCTAAATCTCCTTGTGAAAAAAACTCGTCATAAATTTGTTCCTAAACCAAACAGATCAAAATTATACGAGTGATTAGGAATTGAATCTATATTTTCTTTTAATTAATGGGCGATGCCAACTCACCGCTGTTTTCTTTGAAGTTTTCCAGTCCTTCGTTTGATCGCTAATATCACAGCAGGTCATGAACATGGCATGGAGTAGTTTCTGATGCCCCAGGTCATCTCTACTGAAACCACTCTTTACCATTTCATCCTGCTCATCCATGCTCCTAAAATGTGAGGCCAGATCTGTTGCTAGAATATTATTCCTCAGTAAATCCAACGCTTCGCTGTACTCGTCACTGGCAAGATTCTCGAAAATATTGCATCCCTCTGTATTGAGAATGCACATTGATTGCGCTAAATGATGTCTCTCCATGACAGAACCCTCTGAACTGTACAAACTCGCGAGAACGGTGCCACACTGGGTTTGGAATGAATTATTGGTCCCTCGGTGGTCTATATCGTGACACAGACCAGACACCAGAAAAACAAGTGCCTGGAGACGTGTAAAGTACTTGTCCTCCACTAGATTCAAATTTTTTATCATAAGATAGGCAAAGTGGGCTACAGAAAAGGCATGAATCCAGTTGTGATATGGAGCGTCTCTATATCCTTTCTTAACGTACAGGATAAATCTGCAGATGAATTATTCATTGATAATTAAATCAAACAATTATTATCAATTATGAATTTTTCAAACTCGTTTCAATCCATTCTAAAAATATTATCAATTGACAATTTATGATGACACGATAGTTGAGTTAATCGTAAATTACCTCGCTAATGTTTTTCGTTTAATTTTCCACGACCTTATGAGATCCAATTCATCAAACATTTTAAGTACATAACACGGTGTGTGCTGATGAGGAATATTTCTCGGTGCAAAATGAAACTTGTCGAAGTCCTTGGGACTGTGATCATCCCTGCAGTTTAGTAACGCCTGAACTGCCTCCTCTTCCACCTTAAAGAATTATGGACAATCGATTAACTTTAGCCCCTCGAAATTTGTAGGGTTCTTTTTATTATTAGTCGGGGAAATTTATTACCTGCTGGAGTTAGCAGAGCAGACGTATGAAAGAGGAAGAAGGAGTTAGTGAATATTCAAAAGGATTTATATCGTGTTTTGTGTAATTTTCTATTCGCAAGTGATAAGAAAGAAGATCTAAATTCCCTGGAGATATCTCTGAAACTAATATAGGTACTCTGACATTTTTTCTATTTTCTCTCTTCATTTTTATTCCCATTTTTTTCTGACATGTTTTAATAGAAAAAATATTTTTAAATTGATTACTTTCAGAGATATTTGTCAACTGGGAATACTTTAATGTTTATTAATCTTTTGTTTTTGTTTTTATTAACTTATTACATCATCTCGGTGAAACGTGGGAATAGAAAAGAATGTGGAATGAAGAAAATTTTTGTAGAAAATTTTTTTTCGCTCCAGAATAAAATGTCTTTACAAATTTTTCTCTAAATCCACTTGTTTTCGAGGCATTTTAAAAATATGTATTAATACAATTTCGAGATTCATCTCCGGTTCCCTATAATTCTACTCAATAATTAATCAATTAATCACTGATCAAAAATTACCTTCATGTGATACATCATGAGTTCGTTGCTAAGTTTACTCCTCGCCTGGGAATCCTGAATTTTTTTATAAACAATGCTGTGCATTATCGAAATTCCACAGTAAATGCTGAATGCTGTTGCAACTTCCTCATCGCAAACGTCAAAATACAATCCATTCATTTTGTTGCATAATTGAGCAACGCCTACAGACAGGAACAATAAAATTAATTATTGAAGATCGATTGTGACTGATAATTGATATTGACAATAATTAACAATTATTATCATGAAGGACTTGTTTATGAGTAAATAATGAGTATCTACATGGAGAAGTTGCAATAACAATAGATTACCAATAATTCCATTTTCATCGCGAATTGGAAAACACAGGATATTCCTCGTCTTAAATCCAGTTGCTTCGTCAATTCCACTATAAAAAAGTGGATGTTCATAAGCATTCCGAATATTGAGCAAGTTTCCAGAGGTCGCGACGTGTCCAGCTATCCCCTGACCCAATGCAATTCTCATTTCCTTTAGAAAACAAATTAAACAATTTTAATACTGCAAATATCAAACTCATAAATCTGAAGAGAAAGAGAAAAAGAATCAGATAAATGAGATAGCAATACCAAAATCAATCATTATCAAATGAGAATAAAAAAATTGAAATCAAGACTAATTAAAATGAATTCATCAGAGAGAAACGAGAAAAATATGATGAAAGAAAAGAGAAGAATTGATGGCAAATGGCCAATGAATTTTTGGATAATTGTTTTTAGAAATATTGGGGAGCATGAGGTGATGATGTGAATGGGAAATAATTATTGAATTTACATCACTCGTTGAAACTCCATCGAATACTTTAGCAACGAGCTCGTGGTGCTCATGATCCAGTAAAAATAATGAACATCTTTCGGCGTTTGTTAGTTTTCTCGCTTCCACCATTATCTCCCTCAATAAATCAGGCAAGTCACCCAAATGCATGAAGAGTTTTCTAGACACAATGAGAAGATCCTGACATTGCAGTTTCAATCGTGTCTCCTCTTGACACCTGAGTGTACTCAGTAATAATCCAAGGCAGTACCTGCAATATCCAAAATTAATTCCAACTAATCATCTTCAATTGCATATAAATTTCCAATAATCCCGTCCTATGGAGAAATCGGATAAGAGAGATTGAATCAATCATCCGCAATAATTATGGATTCCTCTAGCTTTCATTTGAATTATTGCAGTGTAAATAATTCAAACACTTGTATTAGAAAAAATTTCATGATTTATTATTCACCTGAAGCACTCCTCGATTATCTTCGTGCACTTTTCCTCGATGTTTTTGTCATTGGGATAATCAATTATACAAACAACTAGGGCAATGTGTTGTTTAACTGGATGCTTAATTGGTACACTGAGAAATCGGTCTGGTACTGGATCAATAACTGAGTACAAGTGCTGGAGCAATTCCTGATCCAACTCGATAGCACTTACTGTCAAGGATCTCCGGGTTTTCACGGTCTTGTGGAGTATGTGATTACAGACCTTCGAAGGAAATTATTGATTAATTTCTCCAATCCAATGAGCAAAACTAATTACTTCATGAATGATGTGGAGAGGAGATGAGAATCTAAATTTATCGCCGATGGTGCATTCTCATTGTCCAGAGAATTAATAGGTTCATCAAAATTTGTCATAACCATGAATCCATAAATACGTATAAGTTCTTTATTAAATTTTCTTTCAAGTTCATCTCCTCTTCATCTCGAAATCATTTGAGGGATTTATTTATGTTATTTCAATCGTTCCTATGGGACTCATTGATTGACCATTATTAATTGGATTAAGAGATGATTGCTGAAAAGGAAGAAGTGGCAGGAAAAGCGTCTAAATAATTGATTAATCATGCAGCTAATGAAATAATGAAAACCAAATTGAGAGCAACAACGTACGCTGTACTTGGACGGTGCTAAGCTTACTTTGTCTATACTCTCCGACTATCTAAACTGTAGATAAAATACAAATACGAGTTAGATAATAGTTGCGTGTAAAGCACAGCCAAGGGTTTTAATTGATTGGTTAATTCATTAATTACGTTTGACTGGCTTACTGGAAACCTCAGACCTCTGTCCAGTATTTTTTCACCCACGACGTTTATTACCATCTCCTCGGTTTCATGGAGAATTGGAGCAAGGAATGACAGTTTCGCTTGAGTTTTTGATTGAATCTGCAATAAAAATTCACAATTCCAACTGATAAAATCCTCATAGTAAAATAAAATACCTCTCACTATTTTTTGCAACGCGAAATTATTGTTTGAGGAATGAAAATCGTGTGGCTTTCAGGAAAATCATTGTCACTTATTTATTTTCAAGATTTATCTGGATGCAATCGGTGGAGGCATATCGTAAATTCTCATCGTTATTCAGGGTTTTTAAAATTATTATTATATTTTTTATTGTTTTCTAAGTAAAAATATATAGAGAATCAATCAACATTGGGCTGTGCTGTGAAATGATGAAGTCCCTTCCCACCTTTTTATTGATTATTGACTTTAAGTGGTTGTCAAGGTATTTTTACAATCTAAAAAAAATTAAAAAAAGGATTGTTAATGTTGTTTTCTCGCTCAGCGCGTCATTACTCAATTTTTATCGTAATTATTCCTAAATTTTCCCCACGACGATTTATCAATTGAATAATAATCCATTGTACTTATTAAATATCCAGAGACTATCTGCGTCATGCACAACCATTATTCAAGATAATGTATAATTTTTTGTTCCCAATTTTATTTTAATGGTGCAAATACGTGGAAAAGAGGTTTAAAAAACTGCACAAAGTTTTTGTCAAGTGCATCGTGAACTCTGAAGAACTCATAACACGGATAATTTACCCCGAATTAATTACGCAATTATTGCCATAATGAGTAATTCCGGGAGGAAAACACTAGAAGAAATTTCCCGTTTGAAACTTTATCAGTCAGTTGACATGTTCTTTTATAACCACTCGTTACCGAGATAAATCACAAAAAACGACAGGAATTTGCCATTCTCCTCAATTGACCAGAAAACGACACTTGAAATAAGAGTAATGCTCAATAAATTAGCACACGATGACAACCATTCTCCCCTATAAACATAACAAATCATAAAAAATTGCCACGAAGACATTGACAAATGGGAAACATCAATTCTCGGTTGTTTCTTCCTTCAGAGAATTCATTCAAATCAAACAAAGTCTAGAAAAGATTATTAACAGCTGATAAAACATCTAAAACACAATATCCAATTTCACCTTCTAGTGAAAGAAATATTTGTCAATTCGTTTTTAACAACTCCATCGTCTCGGGAGATTTAACGTTAAAGAATATATTTCAATGAAAAACTGAAAATATCTTCTAGCCATTCGACACGGAAGGTATTACCTCCCGAGATAAATGCACAATGAAAATAATTATGAAAGTACAATCCATTCATCGTGACTTGCTGTGTAAAAACCTTTGAAAAAGTCAAATTCAAATTACGATAATTCCTCAAAGATTATTGTTCACTCGTTTCAATACCTCGTAATATAAAAAATGTGTCATTACTATTCATTATTCTTTGCAATTCAATTTTGGAAGAATTAAATGCGTCAGACTTTCAAATCATTATCGATTCCATCTTAATAACTCGAATCCTGACAATTGATAAATGATAATGGAAGAATAATCGTGTGAGTAATTTCCCTCGCATGAGTTTTTAATTATTTCGATGTAATTGATGATTTCCAGACATGCCGAAGACGGAAATTAATTACAGGGAAATAATTTATAAAGAGTGAATAAATGTGCACCAATTAGTCATCCCGTTAAAAATTAATTCTGATGGATTAAGATATCCATGAGAACCCCAAAAAGGGGTAATGCTCTGATAATAGAATGGAATTAAAGTTTCTAATGAATAACTTATAAAAATTGAAATCCTTTCATCAAAAATAAAAGGCTAACGATACTTCCCTCTTACAATTTTTATTAGCACGAAAACTAGTCGTTTGGTGGAACAATTTCAAGGGAAATTTTCCGTTTGAAATTGTACTGAAATAAAGATCTTTCGACATTTTATTCATTCTCATGAATTGAGATTAATTTTACGATGAGCAACTCCCTGAAGATACAATTCCACCCTTGCATCAACGTCAATTAATTAAAAAGAGATAGAAGGGAAAGGTACAGGTAGCAATTAATCTATTTTCCTTTGAAAAAATATTTATTGTTTCTTGAAATTTCGAAAAGAAATCCCGGAGTTATGCAACCCTCAGACAAAGCCAAATCTTCATAAAAAGGAAATAATTCCTTTAAATTAAAAACACAGAAACGTCAGCAACTGAAAAATTTCCTCAATCATCATGAATTGTACCTGTTCAAAATGCATGTCAATGAGATAAAAAAATGTGGATCTGCAATTAGCAGAAGAATAATAAAAAATTTAAACGCACTCTTCTTCTGGTCAATATCTGGCCCATTTAATCTTCGTCAAATAACTCAAATAGTTAAACTCGAAGATCAATAGACATCCCACAAAAATCCCCTTCAGCCACCAATTAATTGTCCCATTATCTCTCTGACCCAGGGAAAACCCCTAGAACCATAAAAATAAAATACATCCCACAGAGACAAATAAGTTCCTTACATAACTCCAATTTTTCCCCATTTCCAGTGGACAAATGTCACCACCACGAGGTACCAGTAGCTCTCCCCATCATCATTACAAACCCATACGTGTGCAATTACATAACTCGCAAAATAATTTTCAATTCCCCTAAAATTCACGAAAAATGTCAATTCAACTCACGTAATTATTTAAATTCTGCTGTACAACAGTGCAGGGCAAATCAGCCAGATCCTGAATAAGAGTGATCATTCTCTCGTGCTCCTCAAAATTCATACTCGACATGATTTTAACTGCTGACCTCGATGATCCCTCCAGGTCGTGTGGTAGCTCCAAAAATTATCCGAAAAATCGAAATGAATTTGAGGTGAAAAAGAAAAATAATTTAAATTAATTATCTATGACTGATGCACATGAATTGCACTCTCTCAGTCATTTTTTTTCGAGGGATGCAATGATTTTAGCAGTTTCACGTGATTTTAGTGATGATTATTTGGGATAGATGCAATGCAGTATGTGCAACCGTTTCTGCACCTCCGAGTTTATCCACGATCGGAGGATTACTGACCCAATGTGAAAAATGAAAGAAAAACAAACATCGCAGTCACGATGCCTCGAAATTCTCTCGTTGCTGGATTATTCCAGGGGTGGGAGAAAAATTCAGCCAATGACAGATCGGCGTCGGTGTGACGTCAAGGCGCCCACCGACGTCACTCGACGCTGATAACCTCACTTTAACGAATTTATGTCTTTCGATATTTCACATCGAGATTTATCGAATCCCAGCTATCGATATAATGGTATATCGATTTATCGAGCGCATAATGATCGAATTATCGAATTGACGCGAATTGAATATGAAAAATAATGTAATACAAATTATTATTATGCATAATTAAATATGCATACTTTTTTCATTAATTAATCGGTTTTACCATTTATCAATGGGGAAATATTGATTTCGCGCCGAAAATATCGAGGCTCGCGATACGTCGATTGGCGAATATCGAAGTTGGCAATATCGATATGTGTGAGTATCGAGAATAATTTTTATGAATGAATTCCGGGGAATTTGGAGGTTGAGGTGTGATAAATGGAGTAAATAGAAACAGGAATGAACTTGTTACGGTTACTTCGATAATTGTGACATATTGTTTCCGGAAATAATGAGAAGTGACTAACAAGAAAGTCTCGAGAGAGTGAGAACGAAAAGGTGACTGGATTGTCATTAGGTAATTCCACTTTAAATTCTTATTGTCACTCATCAATTATTTATGTGGTACTCCAATTTTTTGGAGTAACGACTGGAAAAATTGATGTCCATGATATTTCCGCTAATTAATAAATATTCCATCAAGATTAATTATTTGGATCACTCGTTAATAAGATCTCTTCGATGTTTGTAATAACAATTTCGTCATTCGGGATTCGTGAACTCTGAAAAACAATTATTCCTGCTATTTTTTTTTGTCTGATTTATAAACAAAAAAATTTATTGGCAAAAGGACTACTTGTTCTGCGTTGTATTTATCATTGCGGGAAAAATGTCTCAGCAATGAGATGATTTGACTTTTCAGATTCGCTCAATCCTTCCAATTTAATTATTCCGCTGTTTTCTGTCGGAGTGGAATAATTAATTAATCATTGAACTTTTGTTACAACGATTTGTAATCCTAAAAAGGGGAGATGAAGCCCTTCATCGAGAAATCGGAGCATTGGGGGTTGGGGTTGAAAAGAATATCGCCTTTTCTAATCACTTAAACCTTTAATTTTTGAAAATTATTTTTCGTAATTTTATCTTTTATCTACCGTTTATTGTAAATAACGGAATAATTTTAATTCAATACCAACGGAAAAATACCGTCTCTTTCGAAATGAGATTCGTTGATTCCAATCAATGATTTTTTATCAAGAACTTCCTGGTCTCTCCGAACAAACGATAATAAATTCCTCCAAAACACTTGACATTTCCACCGTATCCTCCTGACTTCCATAGCAATTTCGAATGATTATAGATAATAGAGGAAATCGTTACTGATAATATACTGATGATTGATCCGATAAATTAACCGGCAATTTTCCAATGTTCGTTGTAAAAAGTGAAACTGACCTCCAAGGAATCGTTATTTAAAGTGATACAAAAAAAAAATGGAGAAGAATTTAGACGAGATGGAGATAGCACCAGTGATAATCGAGGAGCTGGAAGAGGGTCAGATGGTGGACATGGACGTGGACATTGACGAATTCGTGGAGGCAAGTGCCCTGGAGATTCACGAGGTCGAAACGATTGAGGAACTTCCAGATCCAGCTGTAATGACCCACGCGGATATCGATTTAGAATTGTCCGAAGAAGACGAAGGACTGGACAGTGTCTTGTCCCCAGAAGAAGAGGATAAACTCACGAAACAGTTTCTAAACGGAGAGCTGACGTTCACGGAATATTCTTCAAGGATGGACCACGGAATTGGTTTAGATCCTGATTCTGTGGAACCTGGAACCTCCAGGTACATCCCTTAACGATGGAAAACATGGAAAACGTTGGGATACGATTTTTTCATGACACTTTTTTATTATTTCTCCAGAGAAAAACAATCAACAGCAGATGCAATAGTCACACATGAGCCAGATGTTCAGGAAGAGCCCCAGAAGCGGAGTAAAAGCAAAAAGAGAAAGCGGAATCTTCCTCTAGCTCTCAAAGGTCTGATGGGAGAAGCTAATTTGAGATACGCCAGAGGAGAGACAGAATTGGCAACTAAAATGTGCATGGAGATCATAAGGTCCGATTTTCTCACATTTTGATAATGAATTCTTCAAAATGAATCAATCAACGAATAACAAATTTACATTAAATTCCCTGTTCATATTTCTAGACAAGTTCCCAGTGCTCCAGAGCCCTTTCACACCCTCGCAATGATCTACGAGACGGAGGACCCAGAGAAATCTCTCCAATTCTCCCTGATCGCAGCCCATCTCTCTCCAAAAGACGCTGACCAATGGACACGTCTGGCAAACCTCTCGATGGACTCCGGTAACACCAAGCAAGCTGTCACTTGTCTGACAAAGGCTATCCAGGCTAATCCCAAGGACGTGAGCCTCTACGAGGCACGAGCTCGTTTGCAGGAGCACTTTGGTGAGAAGAAGGCATTCCTCAAAGGATACCTCAAGCTGATACACCAGCTTGGCCCTGAAGATGGTGAGGACATTCTGACTTATGGAAAAATGCTGACCCAACGGTTCATCCAAGACTCATGCTATGATCAGGCCCTCGATGCCATGGACCAGATTTTCACCAAGTGCCCGAAGCTAGTCACTCTCGAAGAAGTAAATATCATGACAGAACTCCTGATAACTATGAAAAAGTTTGGAAAGTGCCTGAATATCCTGAAGGAATACACGACTCTCTTCGTGAAGTATCAGGACAACTCTCAGGAGATAATAGAAGTATGTGAAATTCCTGATGAAGTTGTGGTTGATCTCAAGGCAAAATTTCTGGTCACACTCGTCGAACTCGGTTATATCGACAAAGCAGAGCCACTTTTTCCGAAACTTCTGGACGAAGAGGACCCAGAGGTCTCAGGGGATCTCTTCCTAGACGTCGCCGAGGCCCTAATGACCAAGAAAGAGTACCGCAAGAGTCTGAAATTCCTGGAGCCTCTGGTGAACTCTCAGAATTACAGCTTGGCAGCTGTTTGGTTGAGGTATGCCGAGTCCTCGGTGGGTTGTAGGGACCTGAAGAAAGCTCTTCTGGCTTATGAAATAGTAGCAAAACTCTCACCCCAACACATGGAGGCGAAGCTTCAGCTGTCGACTCTTTACAAAGTATTTGGGCTCCATCAGCGAGCTATTGACGTCCTGCAGCAAGACCCCAACAGCGAAGTCCTTGATCCCGACGTGTTGTATCGAAGAACTATTCTTTTATTGAAGAGCAACAAGCTCGAGGAGTTTCTCAGGTCAGGAATTCTGCTGCTCTCTCGTCACTGCGTAAATCTGAGGAACAAAGAGGAGATGAGTTCCTTGACGAGACCCAGAGTCTACCATCGCTTGGAGAAACTTCATCTTCACAGATTGTCACGTGGACAGCCACTAACTGACGAGAACTGTCCGACTTTCCTCAAGAACACTAGACCAAATGTCGAAGACGAGTTCAATCTGTTCTTGAGGATGTGCAGAGTTGCTTGTGAATTGAAAAAATACGGAGTTCTCCAGAGAATTTGCTTCACTGCTCTGACGTCCAAGAGATTTGAACCCAAGACTCCTCACATTATTTATGTGTCCTTGCTGAGTTGTATTTATAATAATGACTCGTACTATGCGTTCAACTTGGCGAGGGATCTGGTGAGAGACCGGAAGAACGAGAACTTGTGGAATTTATTGAATATTGTGATACAACGGGCTGATGACACCAGACACAATCGATTCATTATGAGACTCCTTGGAAGGGAGGATATATTCAATTATCTTCATGTACTTCATGCCAATAATTGTCTGGTATCAGGGACTTACAAGTATGCCCTTAATGATTATGTGTCGCTTTTCAAGGACGGACCCAGTGCCATGCTGGCGCTTCTGATTGCTGTGACATTTGTGCAAATGAGCTGCCAAAAATTTTCAGGCAAGAAGCCAAGACTTGTGACTCAGGCTTTTGCCTTTTTCAAGAAGTATCGGGACATGAGGGGAAAGGACATGCGACAGGAGTCGAATTATAATATCGCAAGGGCACTTCATCAGCTTGGATTGGTAGCCAGTGCTGCGCAGTTTTATAAACTTGTGCTCGAGGGGGAGAGGTCTGACATTATCAGGGATAATGAGAAGCTAGATCTCAAGAGGGAAGCGGCATTTAATCTTCATTTGATATATATGAACTCGGGGAATACCGAACTGGCGAGGATTTACCTAGAGGCGTTTATTGTGGTTTAGGAGAGATGGATTATTTTGTTATGAGGAGGACGAGGCGAGGAAATTTCAAGCTGGAGGCGCTCATTATAATTATTAATGCAGAACTTGAGACGATGTTACGAAAAGATGATGAATCCTCTTATTTTAATACAGATCATCGCTCTTCGTTCCATTCATCTAGAATTTTTCATTTTTTTACGGAGACACGATGAAAATTATTACGATGAAAATTATCAAAATATGTTTGCAATAAATGAGCATTTGAAATACTTAGACATGTGGTAATTGTTGTTAATTGGAGAAATTGTGGATAACCCCTTGATAATTTCAATAATGATAAATTATCTTAAAAACATTGAAGAACTAATTTGAACAATTTCCTTTCCTCCATTTTAATTTTAGTATTTACTGAGAAAAATGGATAATTTGATTGGGAATTGAAAGATTTGACGTTTACTTTATTTAACAAAATAATAATAATTCATTATCACTATTGTTATTATTTTGAAAATTATTTGCGTAAACCTGTTAGAAATGAAATGTCAAATATAACCAGGCGGAATGTTTTTATTAATTAGATAAACTATTAGATGAGCAATCAAATTATCGATTTATATCTATTTATAATAATAATAATTATTATTATCAGTCTCTCCATTTTTCATTTCAGAAATGACGACAATCGATTCTCAAATTTCGTTCTCGACTCTCTGCTCGGTTTTTGAGGAGATCTCAGTGGCAAAAGCCACGAAAAAACATCAGATTCTTTCAGAATTCCTCCAGAAATGTCGAGGCGAATGCCAACCCTCGACTACACCCTCTCTCTTTCCAATTCTCCGTCTGTTCCTCTTAAAACTGGACAGAGAACGTGGGCCCAATGGTCTCAAAGAGACATCCCTCGCAGCCCTTTATATTCGAGTCTTTTCCCTCGGGAGGGCATCCCCCGATGGTAAAAAGCTTCTGAATTATAAAGAACCGTTGCGAGCGAAAAACCACACGAGCGATTTTGCAGAGCGAGTGTTCGTCGTTCTGGGACCTCGTCTGAGAAAATCATCGACACTCCTGGTTAAGGATATCAATCACTTCCTGGACACAATATCCAATCAATTTTCGTCGAATCAGAAGCAAGACGGTGAGTTCATTAAAATGATCTCTGAATGTTCACCACAAGAGATTAAATGGTTGACGAGAATCGTCCTGAAGGAGCTGAAGCTGTCGATGGGATCGAAGAAGATTCTCCAAGTGTTTCATCCTGACGCGGAGCAGCTGTTCGCGCAGAACTCGAATATCAAGATCGTCTGCGAGACACTGGCGAATCCCAAGGTGCGGATCAATACGAAAATCTCCAGGATAAATGTTTTCTCGCCATTCAAGCCGATGTTGCTGGAACGATTGCCGATTACTCAGATCAGAAAATTCTTCATTGACGGGAGGAGAACTGAGTTCATTATCCAGACGAAGTTCGACGGCGAGAGGTCCCAGGTGCATATGAGGGACAGGAAGTTCAAGTACTTCACAAGGCACGGGCTGGAGATCACCAGGAATCCCTCCTACGGAGAATCAAGAGGTACTGGGGGATTTCTGACGAATAAAATCTCTTCATTACTGAATCCAAATTGCAGATCTATCATCCTAGACGGTGAAATGATGGGATTTCACAAAGAAAAGAGAGAATTCAGCAGTAAAGGAGTTCCCTTCGACGTCAAGAAATTGACATCCAAGAGTAAACATCAGCCTTGTCTCGTCGCCTACGATATTCTCCTCTATAACGACGAATTGCTGATCAACAAACCACTGGAGTATCGATTAAAAATATTGAATAGCGCGTTTGAAGAGTCCCCAGGAGTTTTGCTGAGAGCTAAAAACGAGCGAGTTACATCAATGGATGACATAATCACAGCATTCAACAAGTCTATAGATAACCACGAAGAAGGCATCGTCCTGAAGAAGATCGACAGTCTGTACCAGATAGACACGCGCAACGGCAGTGGCTGCTACAAAATAAAATCCGATTACTCCTCGGAATTGATCCACGACGTGGACCTCGTGATAATCGGTGGTTACTACGGCGAGGGTCGATACTCTGGCCTCTTCAACAGTTTCCTCACAGCCTGCGTTCAACCGACTCCATCCAAAAAATTTTACTCAGTCGTCTCCGTCAGCAATGGCCTCACGACCCACGCAATTCAATCCTTCAATGCAAAATTCAAGCCATTCTGGACGAACACCAAACCAGAGGTGATTGTCGGGCCGAGGAAGAGTCCCCCAGACGTCTGGATTCATCCCCAGCACTCAGTTGTCCTTGAAATACGAGCATCAGAGATGTCCGAGTCGAGTAATTATCCCGGTGGCTGGACCCTGCGGTTCCCCAGAGTCGAGAAAATCAGGGATGATAAGCCCTTCGACGACTGCTGCACCCTGGCCGAACTAAGAGGATTGAAAAATCGGCGGGGATTCATCCAGAAGCTGACGAAGAGGCACGCAACCACCGAAGACATTTACGAGGCACCACTTAAATTTAAAAAATCGAGGCACACGATATCTGAGATTAAAGTTGATGATTGCTACCTGGGGATCAGTGCCTCGGACGTTGTCAGGGCTAGTAGAGTCTTCATGGGGAAGGAGTTTTGCGTGATTAATGGGGAAACAATGAAGGAAAGGGCCGGTGAGGGAAATACGGGAAAAGGAATGACCAAGAGGGAGATTGAGAGGCTCGTGATGGAGCACTCGGGAAAAATCGTTCAGAATCCCACGAAGGAGACGTTCTGCGTCATCGCTGGGGATTCCCAAGGGATCAAAGTGAGGAATATCGTTGATAGCAGGAAGTACGATGTTGTGAGGGTCTCCTGGGTGATGAGGGCCGTTGAGGATGAGAATTTAGGAGGAGTCGTTGAGTTTTTCCCATGGGAGCTCATTGGAATGAAGATGGAGACGTTTGTCAGGCTCAGGGAGAGGTTCGATGAGTATTATGATGATTACTTTGAAGATGCTGATGAGGAGACTTTTAAGAGGTCCACTGATAGGGTATCACTGCTGAAGGATAATCAGATGGTTTTGACCAAGAGGAAGGTTCAAGAGTTGGAGAGGGAAATATTCCAGGGGAATTCCAGTTTTAATATATTCCGGGGACTCGTGGGGGTCTTCATAGATGGAAAAGACGTGAGGGCTTTTGAATTTAGGTTTATGGGGGGTGAGGTCAAGGTGGAAGTCGATCAGGATGTCACTGACGTTTTTGTTGGCGAGGGGAATGTCTCCATGATTGAAGTTTATGAGAGAGTTAATCAGAGGGCGAGGGCTGATGTGAGGATTATAAAAAGTCAGTGGATTCAGGAGTGCCTCAAGGAGGGCAAGGCCGTCGAGAGGAAGAGGTTTATTGTCACATGAAATTATTTCATCTGTGAGGAATTTTTAGGCGTTTTGGGAACAGTGCAAAATAATCTGGAATGCAGTGGTTTTTTAGTTGTGAGAGATATATTTTTTCAAATTTTTTTGTTATCAGTTTTCTAGACTTCGTGAAATTCCACGAATTCGATTTTAATCATTGACGGGACTGTACAGAATTTTTTTCAGATATATTTTTTGAGGAATTAATTGAACTTCTGAAGTTGATTTCAGATCAGTTATTAATTAACACCAAAAATCTATTTTTTCGTGAGGAATAACTTTAAGATTTTTACAGTAAATGTGTGAAAGAGTGTAAAAGATTGTTTATAATTAGAATATAAACGCCAATTGCTGAGTGATAGTTTTAGCGAAACTACAATTGTAACGGAAAATGTTTCCGAAGAATTGAATAAATTTATGCAACGAGCCAAGTTTATTTTGAATCGATTATTTGAAACATTGGATTTTTGAGATGGAAGTGAGACTCATCAAAGTGAGAATGTCGAGTTAAACTGACAAGTCCCGACAGTTTTCTCATTTACAACCGTCTGCATGCGGAATTTCGAGATTATTCTTCCGCGTCAAGGCCTGGAACTGCGTTAAAACCCAGGGTTTTGCAGCTGGATGTATTCCTGGGGAGCTACAATGCCTCGCATTCAGAGATTCCTCGGTAGATTGACATGAAAAGTGAGGGGTCGTAAAAACTTTGGTAATAACTATTATTCCACATTTCTTCTCAACAGATGAGATGAAAGGAAAACTTCTGCAAACTTCTTGAAATAAATAAATATTATCTGTCAAGCGGTGAAATTCCTCTATGGAAATTCATTCTGGCGAACACTTTTATCCCTTCACTTTTTTGTACCATAAATTTTCCTAGAAAAACTTGTATTTATCATTTTTCATTCACAAAATTTCAGGTAAATATTCTGTAATTGGAGAGAGACAATTCATAGTTTTAATAGCAATTACAATAATTTAAATAAAAACAATATTAGATAGCACTTCCTTACATTATTGCGCCAGTAATCAATTTATTTCAATTTATATTTCAATGTCTCTCAATGCGATTGTAGTTGACTTCTCCTTTTCATTAAAAAAATAGATAAAGAGTTGATAACAACTTGAGCAATTAATCTCAGAGAGTATCCTCGTTAACTCAACTAGACAGCGTGAACTCTCCTCTTCTTTTGCATGACCAGACGCAAAATAATGTGAATATGAGTTATGTCAAGTTTCAACCGAAGAAATTCTACTTATAGAAGTGTCACTCCACCACGAGACGTGGATTAATCGACTTTGAATTTTCTCGCAAACGTTTCCAGAGTAGATATTTTTTAAGTGTTAAAAATAATTACCAACTGGTCACACGTGATTTTCAATTTTTATATTACATTTTTTATTGCAAATCTGGGAACAACGAGTGTTGGAGTTTCATATTTTTTATTCTGAATGACTTGATTCGTTTGTCGCA